AGCTGCTTCCCACCATCAATCAACAGATTGGCAGCCAAAAGCCACAGTCCCCGTCCTGTTCATCTGCTCACCTCTCCCTCCATACTGCTGATCCTCACGAGCTCGTTGAGGATCAATAAGGCACCATGGATTCGGTCATCACGGTTCATTCCCTTCTCCTTGGCCAAAGTTTCATCAAAACCCTTCTCAGCCTCTTCATATGTATGCTTGGGGGAAAAAAAAATATATATTAAAATCAATGATCATAACAGAGGCAAAGCCAGTAGGAAAACTGTAATTAACACTGCTAGCTAAGAATCATCCACAAGTTGTAGAATCTGCTGCAGAATATTTTCAACAGCACTAATGAAACAGACAGCCATGCCATGGTATAAACTTCATCAATAGCTTCATCACACTTTTGACCACAAGGAAGCAGAGTTCACAATATTCAGCTGCACTGCCCAAGGTCTGTTTGATACTAGGAAGCCTTAAGCCACATGGCAAAGGCAGCAAAGCTGAACTTCAGACTGAACTTAACTCTTCTGAAACAGCTGTTTCAAAATCAAGTTATTTTCTTACTCTGTACCACTGAGGTTTCTGCATTTCTTTTGGTTCCCGCTGAGTGGTGAGGATAAGGCAGGCTCTTAAGGCAGAAACGGCTCCCTCTCGAATGGCCTGTTTGGGATCCCACACAGCCACAAAAATATTGTCAAAGAACGGCTGCACTTGTTGGAAGAAGAAGGTAGGCACACTGATTGCCAGCTCACGCAGTACGAGAACCTGGAAGTGGGGAAAGAAACAGTAAATCTGTGAAAATGAGCACCCATACACAAACCTCAATGTCTAGAATGCAGTATCATTTATTTAAACGGTTAGTGACTGAGCTGTAACCAGTTCTGTCCACTTTTACAGATGATAGCATAATGGTAGCATAATGGTGTCTCAACCTTGTTTAGTCATGAGGAATTCATAAGGTAGAAGTGAGGAAATGCTGCATCTGCTATGACAGGATCACAGATCCTTACAATTGCACCAGCAGAGCTTTTTCCCAGCTTTCTGAGAACCTCTCCTACCACCATTAAACCTAACCATCCCATTCCAAAACAGGTGAAGTCAGAAGAAAAAAAGAAAAAAAAAAAAGATCACTTACAGCTGCATGTCTTCGACCTTCATTCCTGTCAGCCCCCAGCCATTCCAGAGCACGTTTCACCTCAAACTCCACATACTCAGCTGTGAAGGTGTCACCAGCCATTGCAAGCCGCCCGATAGCCTTGGAAGCCATTTCCATTACAACTGGGTCATTGGATGGCAAGAGGTTCCTCAGATAGTTTGCAAACCTGCCGATACGGGTGGCGTTACCTCCTTCAACACCAATAAGGCTTGCTGTAGAGAAAAGGAGCAGGGCTGTCGGTTCTCCCTAAGGATCGGTGCAGCAGACAGCAGCTAATCCCTAACTGAGAGTCAGTATTCCCTATCCATTCCTTAAAGATTCCCATTAACTTTTTCTAAACAGTAAATCCACTGGGAAAAAATAAATAAATAAATAAAAATAGGAGAGGGCCACCTTTCTTCCAAACCTGGACTTGTTAAATAGACAGCAAAACGCATCAAACAGCTTCATAGATTCTTCCCATTTTTAGTTCAAAAACAGGAAAAAAAAAATTCCATCCTAGGATCACGGGCCCATTCCTAACAGGAAGGCACCATCCACATGCAACTGCCACAGCTGGTCTGCCTCAGAAGGGAAGTGAAAGACAGAACAGACCACAGAGATTGCTCTCCTCCATCAGCCCTAGAGATGGGCTCTCCAGCCTAGGGGTGGATGCATGTTGGCAGGGCAGTGTGGTGGAAACTTGTGCTGCCAGTGCCTGGGTTGTATCTGCTCTGCAGATAAAGAGGCCATCAGTATTCAGGGCTGTCCAGGCAGTACCTTTCAACAGCACTAAAGTCATAGAAACAGTTTTAAAGCAATACTTTCAGCTTAAGAGCCAGACGCTGTCAACAACGATTTCTCTAGCTACGAGGCTCCCACTGTCTCCAAACTTGTTGGGATTAGATGATTATGTCTGCGAAGCTAACCGATAGGCAACTCCTACTTGGTTGTTAAAGAAGTAATTCTACCAATCAAGCTATTCATTCAGACAGCATAGTATTCATACAAGCTGATTCTCTTAACAATTAAAACACAGGCAGCTCTGCCACATCACAGAAAGCACGACCAGAGCTACTGATGGAGCATCTAACCAGAATTAAGGCAAAAGCTCCCCTTGGATGGAAGATGCTGTTACTGAGCCAGGCAAATGTAAATAACAATAATCCCCTCAGACAGAAAAGAGTTCAGAAGTCAGCCCTCCAGGAAGCATATTAAACAGAATCACTTGGGCTGGAAGAGACCTCAAAGATCATCTAGTTCCAACCCCCCTGCCTCAGTAGGGCTGCCAACCTCTAAATCAGGCACTAAAGAGAGCACAGATTGTTCTCAGTTGAGCTCAGGAACAGAATTTTCATGTGCTCAGCACTCATTCATACTTGATGTTTGACTCCCCGAAGAGCTCACTGCCCATTAAGCACCAGGTTTTCAGCCACTCTCAGCACTCAGCAGCTCCCATGCTGACACTAACAGACAGACATTCTGAGCCCAGCAGCTAGCACACACCCAGCGTATTGAGCAGTTGGATATAAGGCTCTGACTGCAGAAGTTCATTTGTTTGGAAAATCCGTCCCAACTGAACAAGTACATGAAGAGAACACTCAAAGGCATAAAGCACTTTTACTCACCTATAGCCAAAATGCCACCCTTCCTTTCATTTGCATCAGAGCTAGAGACCAACTCAAAAATGTGATGGTTCAGCTGATCATAAAACCTGGTGGATTCCTCCTGGCTCATCTGTAACAGGAAAATATTCATATAGGCTCTCAGCATTCTCTCTTCTCTTGCTACTTCCAAAACCTCCATAGAAACAATGCTCCTTAGATTACACTAATAGAAAGAACCATACATTATAAACAGTTTCTCTTCCTTACGCCTTTGACCTGTTGAGTTTATTAATCCTGGTGCTTGACCATCCATCGCTCACCTCTCTTCTCCTACATGCTCGGGCAAAGTAAGCTCCATGTTACCCCCCACCTCCTCACTAATAACAGTTTCCATGTTCCAAAAACATCCATCCTCAGAGTACCCAGCCAGTGCCTTACTCTCATTTAATAGACAGATAATACATTTTTTGCAGCACTCACTTCACGGAGCTCCATGGTGACATAATGCTGCAGGTCCTTGGCAGCTTTTGCCCTTGTTTCTTCACTGCGACTCTTCAAGCCATTGGCAAATTGTTGGAGAATAGACACAGTGCCAGACATGGTGCCGTTACGCTGGGGCTTGGGGCATCAAATCCTGTAAGTTCTTCAAAGACACAGGATTTTTAGTACATTCATTACTGAAATCTCTCAGCTTAACTCTGTCCCTACTGCCTTTTTCCAGTATATATTCCACTGCACGCAAGGATGCTGTGCCAGACAGCACAAACAATACAGCTAACCAGTACCATCCCCTAGGCACTACAGCCCTGTTATAAAACCACATCACTACATCACACTGTGACGTTTCCCTCAGCCCATTTCCTCCCTGGTTCCTCCAACACCAAAACACGCGTTCTGGTAGGTCGGGTGCACCCATGGTGCTCTAACTGCAAGGCACACGACAGCCAAAAAGACACCATGGTAAGATGAAGTTCTGCTGTCACCCTATAACGAGGCACAATCTTTCCCATGAATGTGCCATTATGGCATCTGATTCCTCTGTGAGCATTTTCACCCAAGTTTCTCCACAGAAATCCCCGTGTTCTAACAACACTTGGGGCCCAGCAAGCATTACATTCCTCAGCAGATATTTAGAGATGAGATGTCCACTTATAGCAACAGCAGTCACTGCAGGGGGATGCTTGCTATTGTAACATCACATCACATTAACCCAAGCTGCCCACTTGACAGAAGGGCCCACAGCACCACAACGCACCAAAACTTCAATTTCACCCCCCCGTATTCCCCACACAGCCATAAATCCCACGGAGAACACAGCGCGAGGCGACCTCGGGGCTCCTCAGGGCGAGGGGAGCCCCCGGAAGGAGCTCCATTCCCGCTGAGGGGGCGGCAGGCCCGAACCTCACAACCCGGGAGCGCGGGAAGGCTGAGGGCGCGCGGCGCGGCGGGAACGGGGCCTCCGCTGCGGGGCTGAGGGAGGCCGCGGGGCTGAGGCGGCCGGACCGCTGACAGGGCGCAAGGCGCAAAGCGCCGGCCCGGCGGGCTGTGAGGCGGGAGGGCCGCGATGGTGGGGCCGCGCCGGGGAGCGAGGAGTTACGGGATGCTGAAGGGAGGCTCCCGAGCAACACTCACTCACCACCTCCACCCCAAACGCCGCCAACGCCGCCGGCTCCCCCGCTCTGGGCCCCGGCGGCCTCCCCCGCGCCTCCCGGACCGGCGAGACGCTATCGGCCAATAGGCTTCCAGAAAGGGTTTGATAGGTAGTGCATTTGGCCAATAGAAATAGAGAAAAAGGGAAGGGGCGCACCTAGCCCCGCCTCTCCTCTTGAGGGGCCGCAAGGAGAGTGACCGTCACCGCGCTGCCAATCAGCAGGCGAACTACGAGTGACTGGCAGCGCGCTCTACCAATAGAGAGCTAGGTTCGCTCGGCTGGTGACAAACCTGGGCTAGGCCCGCCCTCCAGACGCCGGCAGCCCTCCGCCCTCCACAGGAGCCCGTGCGCGTTGTACGCATGAGCAAGGGCTGAGGCGCAGGGCAGCGCCCGGTGCGTATCCGAAATGAGTCCGTGTGGGGCCGAGGGCGGGCGTGGCGGAGCAGCTCTCAGCAAACGCAATGGCGCGTAGACCAGGGCTAGGAGGCGCCTCAGAGCCGCTCCTAGCAGCCATGCGGCGTTTTGTACTTCCATCAGACCCCGGCGGAGCGTTACAGATTCCAGTCGGGCCGCGCAGCAGCGGAACCCTCTGCGCGGGGCTGAGGGGCGGGGGGGGCGGTGCGGACGGTGCGCATCGCCTCGGGCGCCGCGCGGAGCTCCCCTCAGGCGCGGCCATGGCGGTGGTGCGTCCCGCCAGCCCCTCCGGGCCCTGACGCGCGGCCCTTCTCCTTGCAGGTGTTGCGAGAGCATGGGGCCGGCGGAGCCGGTGCAGAAGATCAGCATTAACGCCGAGAGCCCTCGCGGTGGCGAGAGGAACGGCTGCGGGGCGGGGGCTGAGCGCGTCCCCGCCGGCGGCTGGAGGCAGAAGTGCGCGGCCTACGTGCTGGCGCTGCGGCCCTGGAGCTTCAGCGCCTCCCTCACCCCCGTGGCTCTGGGCAGCGCGTTGGCCTACCGGGCCGAGGGAGCACTGGACCCGCGACTGCTGGTGGGCAGCGCCGTGGCCGTGCTGGCCGTGCACGGGGCCGGCAACCTGGTGAACACCTACTACGATTTCTCCAAAGGCATCGATCACAAAAAGAGCGATGACAGGACGTTGGTGGACCAGATCTTGGAGCCTCAGGACGTGGTCCGGTTCGGGGTGTTCCTGTACACGGTGGGCTGCGTCTGCGCCGCCGGGCTCTATGCCGTCTCTACGCTGAAGCTGGAGCACCTGGCCCTGGTTTACTTCGGGGGGCTGTCCAGCTCCTTCCTCTATACTGGAGGTAAGCACCAGGCCCCGTTTGCTTTCAGTCTGAATGGGACAGTGAACTGACTTGTCAGAGGAGACCCAAGTGATCTAATAAGCTGCCTGGAAAGTATTTGGTGGTATTCCCTGGAGTGCGGGTATGTAGCCTTGCCATTGATTGCTGTGGGGAGGTGCGAGAAGGGATGCATCAAGTTCAGCTGGAAAGTAGTGCTAAGACATTGATACCGTAAGGCAGCTGATCAGGAAAGTCTCTAAGACTCAAGCTGGAGTGTTAGAAAGCAGGAGTTCTTTAATAGCAGCACTGAATGCATGGGGGTCATCCTCCAATTACCATGGCTTGCATGCTTACAAAAGATCTTTAGTTAATATACATTACTTGTGTTACATGTGAGTTTTCCAAGAGGTATATGTGCAGAACTTTCTTAGAGTTATGTTACATATGCAAGTTTCCCAGAATTATATATTCAGTGACAGATTCCAAGCAGGAGCTCCTATTTCTTTGGTACAAAGACTCAGTAAAACTTCCTTATCTCCTTGGTTCAGAGACACAGCTCTTCCTGCTATCTGAACAAGAATTGCAGGGCAGGACCAGGTCCATTCCTCAACCAACACTAGCAAATGTAACAACATCATTATAACTTGTACCAACATTGGTAGATCTGTATGGCTGTAGGTGCTCCTTAGAACTGTTACTGAAGCTTTTTGTGGTGTGTATCTCGTGTCTTCAACTGTATGGCTTGCTGCATGTGTCCTTTTCCATTGGTGTAATTTGTTTTGTTTTGGAATGTTGTTATTCTTTAGGTGGAATTCCATTGAGAATGCAGAACAGTACGTGCTTGTTTTACTGAGAAGAGAGTGTTCTTAGTGTTGTTCTGGGTTGGGTTGGTACAACATGAGAGGCTGGAGAAATTAACGAGCTGCGTTCTCAGTAAAGGAAAAGAGAAAATATGCCTCTCAGCCATAGCTATGTACTTGTTGGCTGTTTTACAGTATTTCTATGGGAAGGGCTGGTCTGTTGTAATCCATTCTCTGTTGTCATATGAGTTGTTTGATGATGCTTCATTGTATTCTTGTGTTTTGCCACAGGAATTGGATTTAAATATGTTGCACTCGGAGATGTGGTGATCCTGATCACCTTTGGGCCCCTGGCTGTCATGTTTGCCCATGCTGTGCAGGTTGGTTATCTGTCTGTCTCACCGCTGCTCTACGCTGTCCCTCTGGCTCTCAGCACTGAGGCCATCCTGCACAGCAACAACACGCGAGACATGGAGTCTGACCAGCAGGCAGGCATTGTCACCTTGGCTATCCTCATCGGCCCTGCGCTCTCCTATGTTCTCTACACCGTGCTGCTCTTCTTACCCTACTTGATTTTCTGTGTGTTGGCCACACGCTACACCATCAGCATGGCACTGCCACTGCTCACCATCCCGATGGCGTTTTCACTGGAGAGGCAATTTCGGAGCCAAAACTTCAACAAAATTCCTCAGCGGACAGCCAAACTCAATCTCCTTTTGGGGCTCTTCTATGTTTTTGGAATCATGCTGGCACCAGCTGGTGCTCTGCCCAAACTGTAACAAGCTGTAGAGCCAGACCTCACAGTTCAGTATTAATGCCAATGAAGAGGGGGATTATGTGGGTAGTTGACCTGTTATGGACAGTGTGAAACACAGAGAGACTGTCCTGAGCTGTTGATTGTATGTGAGTGTTGTGATTTCTGGTCTTGGTTAGCTTGCACATCAGGCTTTAGAGAAGCCATTTATCAGTTCCTTGGAATATCGCTTCCTTGCAGCTTTGATTCTGGAGAACCAACGTGATCTGAGGACAAGAGTTTAAAGAATGTCACCCTTCTGCTGATGAATTCTGAGGGGCTTCCACTGTTAATGGAAGTAAGATTCAGTCTCATACAAACTCTCCCTTCACAAGTAGCTTTGATTTCTCTTACAACTCCTTACCACGGTCACAGAGTTCAGTGGCTCCTACGTGGCAAATAGAAAGCACTGCCAAATGCTTAGCATCACAGTGACATGGTGCTATTACTTCACTCCTTTGAGAACATGATTCGTATCTTTTCATTTTTGTTGGTTTTCTTCTTCCTTCTGAGCTTTAATTTCCAAGCCCTCTGAATGGTAGTAGGATACTGATTCATTCACTGTTGTCTCTGCTGGATTCTTATAGTCTAGAAAGTGCAAAATTGTGTCTCTGTGGTGTGTTGGTGCTAAAATGGAGCACAACTATCCCATTGCACAAGCTTGAAGACAAAACCAGTAAATGTATTCTGCTTTGAAAGCTGAACCTGTAAATGCAAATCATGCAACTGAGTAGCCTTCAATGCATAGACAAACAAGTGGTTACCCTTTCCACTTTTGCTTAAATTTAACTGTCTGAAAGGACAGCCATGTTAAGCAGAAATGATGGACAGGGTGCCAAAATTCTTAGATCTGGATTGATATTTGAGTGGGAGAACAAGCTTTCAGTTGAAAAAATATGTTTCTTTACCGTCATTCTCTCTGTTTAGAGGCTTGAAGTACCATAGTCAAATGTCCTATTGTAAGACCTAAAAGAAGTCCAGATAAGGAGCAAAGGAGAAAGACACAGGGTTAGCAAAAATAAATGATTGTGTTGGCTCTACGTATCAGTGAGAAATGGAGACAGAAAGAAACCATCTTTACTAACCAGATTTTTTCTAAGGCAGACCAGTTTGTGTGACTGAATCCCACGTAAATGTTAGGAGCTCTGACATGAGTTTCCCCACCTCTTCTCCTCCCTCTGCACCTTGCAGCCTTGTTTTAGTTTCTTCTTTAGATCTCACCTACTGATACTTGGACCGTTTGGAGAACTGTTTGTTTCAGTAAACGTGCAGCAGTTTGAAAAGCAAACCATGCCAAACATAACTGGGAAACATCCAGTCACTTTCCATACGAAGATGATTTACTCCATTCTGTTGTTACTCCATGGCAGTCAAATTCTCTTTTTTTGAAGAAAAAGTATTTATTTCCTATGGTCGGGGGTTTGCTGAGTTGTTTGTTTACAGGTGAAGAGCTTCACAGCAATTCATCCTGGTGTTCCACTCTGTTAGTGCCTGGAGCACAGCCTTGCTTTTGAACCAAGGGGGAGCGCGTCAATTACTCTATAAAGGACTTTCAAGCAATAAACTTAGCATGGTGTTGTCCTTCATTTGTCATAATTAAGTCGTACATTCAAAAGTACTGAGTGTTGTATTAGTGGAGTGTGCCGCTGCCAGTGCTGAAGCTGTTAATGAGACAATGTTACACAGCATTGAGAGTTCAGTGACAAAACCTGGGCACAAGACGAGAAAATAAGGACTTCAGCAACTGTCTGCTGCTTTATACAGCAAAATACTTTTTTGCTGTGTTGCTGATGGGTAGATTAGAAACACGAGGAGAAAAGGGAAAAATTCAGCTTGGGCTGATGGAGGGAGATAGGAGTGTTTTGGAAACTGCTTGAAGCAGAGGAATAGGCACCGTATCTACTGTTGTTTCTTTGTGGACCTGCAGAATAAAGAAGAGCTTGGCTCTGTGACCCACATCACTTTTCTGCAGAGTAAAAGCTTTCCCAGGGATGTGGACTGAGCTGGTGAATCTGCTAATTGTGCACTGGCAGTTAGGTGGGTTATTAATCCCAGCGTGGCTTCATTGTTACCCTTTGTAGCAGCTGTGAGCTTCATTTTATGATGGCTCCTTTTTATGTAGCTGTCAGTTGAAAAGAGTATTTCTCTTTTTCTACTCCTTGTGCACAGAGTTACTCAAGCTGAATTCCTTATGGTAACTAAGACATGGCTCGTGTGTCTGATAGCTGTGCTGGTGGAGAAGGACCTGGGGAACAACTAATAGTGAAGCAGTGTATGCAGCTGTGGTTGTATTGGGGCTGGCCTTCTGTCATGGGAAGGATCATTGCTTTCTGTTCAAAGAGATGAAGGAAGAGTTCACTCATATATGTGTATGTTGGTGGAACTCTTGTCAAGGAGAGGAGTTTTAAAGCAGTTTAGAGGTGAGGATTAGAGGAAAATCAGTCTGAAATGCTTTTGCTTCCTAACAGATACTGGTTGCATACGGTTCCCTGTCTGTGAAGGAATGCAATTCCACATTCTTGGGGATACTGATAAGGGCTCCCACTTTCTTCACCATGGCTTTGAGGAAGTCATTTACCTACTTTGTGTATCAGGAAACAGCTAACTTTTGCCTACCTCACAGGGATGCTGAGCCAACATCGCTGTCACAGCTTTGAAAGTAACAAGTGCTTTATCTCTGTGTGCTTTCCAAAAGCGTGTTAGCATGAGAAAGCATTTTAGGTATGAACTAACCTAACGGGTGACTGAACCAGTGTGAGCAGACCAAAATCACCTCCGAGCTGACATTGAGTGGTGAGAGAGGCTCCCTTGGTTTGTTTTGAGATGAGGATGCCGAGTCTGTCCCTGTCCTGTGTGACTACAGCTGAATATACATTTCTTAAGCTTCTTACAGGTCTCTCTTGAACTGTGTTGCTGTGTGATGAGTCTGCATTGGTAGGTTAACTGATTAATGTGTCCTAAAGCACCTCCTGGCCTTTCTTACTCAATAAAATGACTGAATGTTAGTCTGTTAACTATACTGCATTCAACTACTTTATATCACTCTGTTTTTGCACACGTATTAGAGAATTCTCTGGGAAGGATGGGGTCTTTCTCTGCAGTGGTTACAGTGTCAGAACATGACAGCTCATACCTATTATTTTATGTGTGCTGAGTCTCTTTATGAGTTGCATAATCACGTCCTTCCATCTCGCTGGATAAGAAGTTCAGTGGCAATGATCACCTCATGTTAACAGCAGACTTCAGACTGGTGGTAGCGTTCCCACCAACAAACAGAATTTCCTTTGATGCAGTTTTCTGTGCCACGTCCTGCTCAGCATTTGTAAGGAGCTTCCAGCTGAACTTTCTCAACGTTTCATCTTTTTAATAAAGGTGGACTTTTTCATCCTCACCTGTGTGACCTGCTGTCCTTCAGTGTTGTGGTCTCTCCTTGCAATGGCTTTATTTTGCTCCATAGGCTTGTGGCAGAACAACGTCTCCCTTTTGGAAGAATCAGAAACAGACTTGATGGCTTCGCCTTCATTTTCCCTGTTGTGACAGAGGGCCTCTTGTGGTGCTGTTGCTGCTGCCTCCTTACCAGCACTGGCCCAAGGTAGTGGAGATGGCTGTGCTTGGAGGTTTTTTTTTAGCAGTCTGTGCATTTCTTCTAGAGGGTTTGCAGCTACGTTACCATCAAGCTAGCACACTAGTAGCCAAACTCGCTGTAAAGAAGCATGTCCTCTAGTAGAAACTTCAGACCTGGGAATGGACCGTAATGCGGAGCAGCGTTTTGCCCGCGTCCCGCCTAGCAGGGGCTGTAATTCCGGCTGTCCGCAGATGGCAGCACCGCTCCGCTGCAGCGCCGTGCGGGTCCTGTGCCCTACAAGAGGCGCCGACCGCAGCGCCTCAGCCGTTATCTGGTGATATTTGTGCCTCGCCGCTCTGAAAGTCAGTCTTATTTCTTTATACCAGGAGATTTTTTTTCTTTTTGCTCATTAGCTCACAAAGCAGGAACCACGCAGTGTCTATAAGCAATACAGAATCAGAGGAGCTCGTGGAGCTTCCCTGCCTGTTCTTCCAACACTGGAACTCCAAATTCCGTATCCCAAATAACCCTGCTTTCAAGATCGCTGGATCCCGGAGCTGCATCTTGAGAAGCCGTTCACCAGGAGCTGCGGCTGTAGGTCGTACGTGTCCGTACAAGCGTGGTTCCGAACAACCCAAGCCCAGAAACAGCCAAGCACCGAGCTCCATTCTCACGTACAGCAAAGGCTGCGGGATGAAGGCGATGCGCCGATCCCGCAGACGCGCCTCCGTCCCCAGCGGCGTCCCGCAGCCGCTCCGTGCGGGGCGGTGCTGGGCGGTCCGGCCGCGCACAGCCCGTCCCCTTCCTGCTGAGCTCAGTTCCTGCGGAGCGCGGCGCCGTCACGAGCGCTGCCCGGCTCCGCTCCTCCCGCCCGCCGGCAGGGCCCGGGCGCGGCCATGGCGCGCTGAGCGGCGGCGGCCCAAACCCCGCAGCCTGCGGGCCGGGGCCGGGCCGGGCAGCCGGCAGCACGGAGCCGGCCGGCGGGGGGCGGCGGGGCGGGGAGCGGGCCCGGGGGGCCGCGCGGCACTCGGGCTCCGCCGGGAGGACCGGGCGGCGAAGGGCGGCCGGGCCGGGAGTGATGGAGCCGGCAGAGGTGAAGGACCGCATCCTGGAGAACATCTCGCTGTCCGTGAAGAAGGTGGGCGCGGGCGGGACGGGGGCTGCCGCTGTGGGCTGCGGCGGGGCTGCGCCTTGTCTGTGTGCGGTCAGAAGAGCGATTCGTCAGGCGTGCGGGGCTGCCGAGCTCGCGGTCCGGCCTGGCGCTGATGGCAGCTCCGGTTGGCGTTCGGGAAGGAGACCTGGTTTCGGTGTTCCCACAAGTTTTGGGGAAGGGGGGCTTTCTGGGCTTGGCGACGTTTCCCGGTTGCTGGGTTTGCTCCGTGTATGTCCTGATACAGATTCATCCGTGAAGACTTGCTGTAAGACGAGCGAATTTCCAGCATTATTAAGGACAGGGAAGCTTGACAGCACTCCTGAGTGTAGGATGGCTGTGCAAATTCCGTCCTCTTTCCTCCGTCTGTGAGCCTGTCCTCTGCTCTCGTTCTTCTGTCCTCTAAAAACAAAGGATAATCTTGTATCTACCTGAAAATGAGTGAATGTTCATCTGGCTCCCAGCTCTGTTGTGATGCTCCCCATGTCTGACCTTGGCATAAGGATATATCAGTTCCCACACAGGATTTGTTGGGCACTGTTTATTTACATGGAGAAAATCCCCACGGATCCTCGTTTGGAGATGCTATGAAGTCAACCTGGTGACTGTTTTAATAATTGTCATACTTGAGGGCTTCTCAGCTACAGCTATGGCTTGACCTGCACTGATCTCTGCCAGCTCTCCTGTCTTGGTCCAGCAGAACAGAGGGATTTTTGGATTTTGCAGTCCTACCCCTTTGCTTTCCTGCTCAGTTCAAAGTGGGAAAGCTCAGGCAAGAGTAGGAGACTTCAGGCTGATAGGTTTGTTGATACTGTCCCACTGAAACCCAGCTCAGCCACGTGGCACAAGTCCAGCACTGGCACACCCCAGCGTTTTACCACTGGGATGCAATTCTGCTTCCTCAGAGAGTTTGCTCTCCTTCAGCAACGGAGCTGATCGTTCTTCTCAGTGCTTTGCTGTTTGACTTCTGCCCTTGAGTCTCTGGCGCTTTTCTTCTCTCTGTGTTAGTGAGAACAGGCAGTCAGTAGGTGAGAGGAGCAGCTACACCCTTCCCACAGGCTGAGATCTCATCTCGTTCGTTCTCTGCTCCCTGCCCGCAGCAGGTTGTGTCACGAGGTGTGGGGAGTTCTCCAGGTATCACCTCTGATTTCAAAAGCTTTCTGGCTGCGTAGGCTGGTCGCTCCTTACTTTCCCTGTTGGTGCAGGTTTGATTTGTAGAGCATAGAGCTCGGATGAGTTTGTGACCATTTTTTGGTTTGAAATGGGCTGCCAGGGAGGTGGTGGAGTCACTGACCCTGGAGGTGTTCAAGGAACGTTTGGGTTTTGTGTTGAGGGACGTGGTTTAGTGAGAACTATTGGTGATAGGTTGGATTGGATGATCTTGAAGGTCTTTTCCAGCCTAGGAGATTCTGTGATTCTGTGACAATGTGTGTGCCTCTCTAATGCTTTTTGCCCAGGCGTAATAGGCTTTCTTTTCTCAGCTTCAGACTTGAGGAAGAGTTTCCACTATCCCCATTTGAGCAGCAGTAGCAGTGAGTTAATGCTGTGCCTTTCTGCCCATCTCCCCACCTGGTTTTCAGCTCTGTACCAGCAAAAATGCTGTTGCAGTCCCCCATTGTGCCCCAGCTCTGCTTTGCAGCATCCCTTGAATGTAGATTTGGGGATGGTTTGATCCACCCATCCTGGAGAGGTGCTGAAGCAGAGCATCCTTTGCTAACACACAAAAGGAATGTGCTCACCTCTAAGTGGATGAGGCAGTGGCTTTTGCATGGGGAGCAACAGGAACTGAGGTGGCCAGCCTCCAGTTTCACAAGTTCTCTGAGCGCGATGCGGCTGCTGAGTGATTCAGCTTTCTGATGTCCCCATCCAAGAAGAGTAATCCAAATAACTTTGTGCCAGCAAACTTGGTCTGTGTGGAGAGATTCAAAGCACGGAATGCTTGCAGCGTGAGTAAGCAGCAGCTCTCTGGGAGAACGGCACCGTTGCAGGGCACAAACCCCCTGTGCTCACTTGTTGTAGTGTGTTTACCAACTGGACTTGTTTTTCACTCCTATGAAATCTGTTTTTCTGTTGTGCTGAGCATATGACCTTTCCGTCTGCCTGCAGCTAACGCGGGGATCCTGTTCCTCAGCAGCTCTGTGCCATCCCAAAGACTCTGCTGGCTGCATCTGACAGACTGCACCACTGGCAGCTTCCTTCCAGCCTTGCCAGCCGGCTCCGTGCCCATTCCCTGCTCACTGCTGCAGAAGTAATGAACTTCAAATGAAGAAAAGCCCTGGTGGAAAAGCCTTTGGGGAATGAGAGTTGACAAGTGTCCCAGGAGGTGACAGCCTTACCAGACTGCACACAGCTGGGCAAATGCTTCAGAGCTCTGTGTTTCTCGACATGAAACATCTTTGTTGTGGGAGTCAGCTTTGTTTCTTTCAGGCTCAGGTCTCTGCACATCATGAAAGTGCTGTTTTTTCTCAAAGCTGCTCCAGTGCAGTTGGCAGCGCCCTCAACTTGGTGATGGGCTGAGTGTCAATGTTTTCCATTGGAAAGGTCCCAAAACCGAGGCCAGGGGTGCAGTGTCCAGAATGGAAAGCCAGGCACTGAGGCAGGTGCTGATCTGAAAGCTTTTTGTAAGAAATGTCAAGTCAGGTCATGTGTGCAGCCCCCAAAGATCCAGACAGAGCTGCAGTTTCAGGGCCCTCATTTGTTTTGTATGTATGTAATTCTTGACTGGTGAAGACAGCAACAGAGCTGCATCTCTGCCTTGAAATTCAGCCCAGTTTTATGGGTGATATAGAAGTTGCAGAGGAGTTTGGCCTCCTTTTTATCCATCTGCCATTGAATTTGTACTCCTCTGAGCAAGTGTAATTTTGCTCCTCTGTTAATTTATCGATCTTCTTACCTGTCTGTCCTATCCCTTGCCTTTGCCTCTTTCCTTGGAGCTGAGCTGCCATCACTTGCCTGGGACCAGGTCAAACATCTGCCCTGTGGTTTTGGTGCTCCCTGGAGCTCCAGCCTTGAGCAGTGAGATGGAAGGACAGCTGCTGGAAATGGGTTTTGGAAGCGTGTTGAGTCTTGCAGAGGTTCGTATCTCCAAGATCCTGCTTTCAGAGACAGATACCTCCTCGATAGATAGGAGAAACTGTCTTTCCACTGATTGGGAAGGCAATGGGAGGACAGGGATTGAGACAGAAGGCTCCTCCAATCCGCTGGATGTTTTGGCTATCTGTTTGCTGCTTTGTGGCATTCCTTTTGTTTTGCTTTTTTGCAACTGGCAGAAAACCCCTTGCCAGTCCTTGTGCTGTGTGTGAGAAAGTGGGTTTTCAAGTGTCCCACGCAGCGAGCACAGTGGTTTGGGGTCAGAGCTGAGCTGGCAGAATGCAAGGGGTTGCCCCATGGCAACTGTTGGCTTTTCTTTGCACTGTTTTTGTCTTGCCAGAGAAATGGCAAGCAGAAAAGGGACATGAACTTGATGCTGGAAAGCCACCGGTGGAATATCTGTGGGCCAGATGTACGGAGAAGAGGTGAAGACGTGGCTGGATTGTGGCCAGCCTTGAATAGAGTCAGGAGACTGCGTTTCAGTCAGGCTGTGGGAGTGCAGGAGGGCCTTCCAAAAAGCACCACAAAATGATTCTGTTTGGAAAATGGACTTCATAGTGTGGCTGCTACGCTCAGAGCTATTCCT